CTCTGAACCACTGCCTTCCCACACTGGGCTATTTAACTCCAATTGCTCTCTATAATCAATCCATTTTCTACTATGCACAGAGCTGATCTTGTCACTCTCCTACCTAACCCTTCAAAGTTAAACTTTTTGAATTTATTTATTTTATGCATATAAGAGCTGGGGTGTAGGCCCGAGGTGCAGCGGGGGTGAGAGGATTCACCAGAGACAGTGGGAGCAGAACAGGTGGATTGACTGAAATACACTGCTGAGGGAAGCAGTGGGTGAGACAGGAGAGGTCTGCTCGGTCATGTGGGTCAGCTCCCTGCCTGGGGATCGAACTTGTGCTGCCTTGGCTGCCAATAGCTTCATAGTGCTGAGACTTAACCCCTTGTACCACCAGGTGGCCACAAAGGTAAGCTTTAACAAGGACATCCAAGATCTGGCCCTACCATTTTTCCAGGAGTCATGTCTTGCAACATTTTGCTGTCCCTTATGTGTGGAAAGCTCTTTCCCCTAATCATAGCATGTTAAATTTCATTTTCTGTTTCTCTTAGCAAGTATTTCTTGATCATGGTATCTCCCCTGCCAGGTAAGTATACTTAAGCATTTCTGAATGCCTGTTTGTCACTGACTCGTATCAGTATCCTTATCTTGTTATTTTTTTTTAAAAAATTATTCATTTATACAAGCACTGGGTACAGTCAGAAGTGCGAGAGATTGAGAGAATTCACCAGAGCCAGAGCGGGGAGCAGAGCAGGCAGAGTGACGAAGTACACCGCTGAGGGGAGCAGCGGGCGGCAGGAGAGGTCTGCGCGCACCATGTGGGACCCTCTCCCGGCGGCGGGGGATCAAACCGGCGCTGTCAGAGGCTGCGGGCAGCTTCACAACCTAGCGCTCAACCGCTGCACCACCAGGGAGGCCCCTTATTTTTTTATTCTTAAAAAAAGTGAAAGTGGGGCCTCCCCGGTGGCGCAGTGGTGGAGCGCTGGGTTGCGAAGCTGCCCGCAGCCTCTGCAGCGCTGGTTTGATCCCCGGCTGCTCCCCGGCCACCAGAGGAGGGTCCCACATGGCGCGCAGACCTCTCCTGCCGCCCGCTGCTCCCCTCAGCAATGTACTTCGGTCCTTCTGCCTGCTCTGCTCCCCGCTCTGGCTCTGGTGAATTCTCTCACCCTCCTGTGCTTCTGACTGTACCCAGTGCTTGTATAAATAAATAAACAAAACAAAGTTAAAAAAAAAGTGAAAGTGTCCTTTTTCAAATAACATGATTTGTATACGCTTTTTGCCTTTAATTACTCCATTTTTTAAATTTGTATATACTTATTTGCTTTTATTGAGGTAAAATTAGTTTACAACAGTATGATTCAGGGGATAAGTTCATACCTCTTCCACCATCAAATCATAGTCCTTTACCTAACTCCTCCATCAACCATCTTGCTCAGTTCAGGGGTGGCTCTTGCTGTTTCTCCTCCCCGTAAACTTTGGATGTTTTTGTATTTTATTTTATTTATTTTTTTTAATGCATTTGCAATTTTCTGGTGAAGGCTTGCAGTTTTTTTTTTTTTTTTAAAGATTTATTTATACAAGCACTGGGTACAGTCAGAAGCATGGGAGGGTGAGAGAATTCACCAGAGCCAGAGCAGGGAACAGAGCAGGCAAACTGACGAAATACACTACTGAGGGGAGCAGCGGGCATGTTAGGAGAGGTCTGCATGCCATGTGGGACCCTCGCCCCGCAGCCGGGGGAGGCCGTTTTTTGTATTTTAACTAGAACTTTTTCTGTCTATACCGTAGTGTTACTAGTACCCCTGCTTGTCTTTGGTGTTAGGGATACAAAATGCATGAATGTTTACATTGCAAGACTATGTGTAGGGAAAATAAATTTGTGTTGTTCTGAACTAATGGGAGATTAATCCAAGGAATTTTGTAATTCACCTGACTAAAATGTAATTTATACAGATCTTGAATTTTTAAATCTACATTTAAATTAATAGGAGTCATGTTTGTAAAATTTGATAGTAGGTATATGCTGATACCCTAAGAATAACTAGTATTAAATTTTACTATTATAACTTAAATATTTACTATATATGTTTATAAATTACAATAAAGCACAATGATGGTGCTCTGGACAGGTAGTAATGTGTGTTACTTCTCCCCCTTCCTAAAAAAAAAGTATGTTACTTGTACTTACTCTGATTTTTAATTACCTAATTTCTAGTATGTATAGACTAACCCTGCTTTTATGTAAGTTCCTGTATCGTTATGAATGTTCCTTGCTCCAGAAGAATATCATTGTTAGGATGTACATATAGATACATTTTTAGAGGTTTTTCCCAGTTCTAATTCTTTTACTAATTGTACTTTGGATTAACCCTTCAGTTGAAGACAACTGAAAAAAGTGAATAAAACATTTTTTTATGCTAAAATCATTAAAGAGATAATACTGAGTCAAACCTCGAGAGAAGATAAGAACATGTAGCATATAAACGCACATTTTTTGCTTCAGGTCATTTGCCAATTTAGTAGCAATGTTTCAGTACTGAAATTGAGCTGTACTTTTGGTGGGTTTGGTGGGCTTGGAGGCAGAAGGCAAAATGCCTACCAAGGTAGGTACTCCAATATTATACCCGCTTGAAAGTAGGAACCTGAAATTTACCCTCAACCTGGAAGTGAAAAAAGTCCTTGATGCTTTCATCCCACATTTTGTCACTTTGATGGTCAAGAAAAACAGGACTTCAACCCGTATTATGATGATCCTTAGCTAATGTCTTCAGTTACCTATCAAGAGGAAAATAGTGGCCTCACTGGCGGCGCAAGTGGTTGAGTGCAGTGCTGCGAAGCTATCTGCTGCCTCTTCAGCACGGGTTTGATCCCCACCTGCAGGGGAGAGAACACATGGTGTGCAGACTTCTCCTGTCTTGCCCACTGCTCCCCTCAGCACTGTATTTCTGTCAGTCTGCCTGTTCTGCTCCCCACTCTGTCTCTGGTGAATCCTCTCACCCCCACACCTATGGCCTGTACCCCAGCTCTTGTATGCATAAATAAGTCTTTAAAAAGAAATAAAACTTCTGAAATTAGAAGGGGGGAGGGTAATAGAGTGATTAAAAGGCAGGGACAAAAAGGTGAGAAAAATAATGGGTGAGAAAAACAGACAAAATAAGAGCCTTAAATCTAAACATGAGCAATTACATGAATATTAACAAAATGCTTCAATTAAAGACAGTAAATATAAGATTAACATAAAAATAAAACCCCAGCTATATGCTGTTCATAAGTGGTACAAATAAAGCAACCATAAAGTTGATACAAAAACTAAAATCTTGTAAGGATAGTATTTTTCAGGAGATTATACTGTATGTAAAATAAGGCACTGTCCTCCAGGACCTATTAGTACATTTTTCTTTCATTGCAAATCACTTTCAAAAGAGTATTCCTGCAGTGTATGTGGAGGTGTTTGAACTTTGAGTTCTCTGAGTAACTGGAGAAACACTTGCCTCTAAAGGAGTTTACTGAAGACGTGATTCTAAAATTTTTACTAGCCCAAGTATGCATTTAAAGGGACCTTGGGACTATGATTGCTATTTCATGTTAAATATTTAGTAATCTTGCTAATAAGTTTCAAGGTGATGCAGACGCAATTTCAATGTAAAAACTTACCATTATTTTTTCAGAGTGTCTAGGAAACACCTATGGCTCAATTTAAGGAGAATTTAATCAAAAAAGTTCTGACACCAGGATTAGGCACTGTTAGCTCCCTCAGGTCCCATAACGATGCTATGAGGTGTGTTTGTTTGTTTCTTTCAGATGTGCGTTTAAGAAATAAATTGCCGACAGTCCCAGTTAGTAAGCTGGTGGCCCAACGTTCTGAACGCAGGGTGCGGGCCAGCTCCGCCACCACAGGCTGCTTTCAGGTAAATGCTGCTGCTGCTGCGGTGACAGGGCCTTACTCAAATGTATCTCTGAAGCAGGAAAGAAAGTCTGCGAGCACCTCCCCTTTCAGATACTGCTGGAGGCCCACGGCTCCCAGTTTAGACCCGCCGCTTCCTGCGACTCTCAATGATGATCAACCCTCGCGGACGAGAGGGCCTGTCTCCTAGCGAGTCCGCGCGGGTGTTGTTTCCTGAACTTGACTTATCCCAGGTCGGGGGGGGGGGACCCCACAACCCCCACGCACAAGGGAGGACACGGGCCCAGACGCCAGCGCCCGGGTCCCCGAGGCGGGGGCCGGGCGAGGAGCGGGCCGAGTCCACTCGGTTCCGGGTGGGCCTGAAGCGAGTTCATCGGTGAGGCCTCGCCAGGAAACCGCCCACGTTGGCTACTAACTCAGCCGAGGCCCCGGGCACGGGCCCCACGTACTCCCCCCCGGGCTGGCCCCGCGGCCCTTTGGCTAACTCGGGGCCGGCGGGGCGGCCCCGCGCGCCGCACGGGCCGCATCACCGCCGCCGCCAGCGTGCGGTTTGGCGCCTCGGGCGGATCCGGCCCGGGGGGCGGAGGAGGCGCCCGTCTCGCGAGATCTGGGAAGGGGCGGGAGAACCCGCGTGCACGCGCCCGAGAGCCGTTAGGGCGGGCCGCGGCCGGGCGGCGCGGGCGGGGCCAGTGCAGTTGGACGCCAGTTGGTGGAGGCCCTGCGGGAAACGACTCAGCGCGAGGAGCGTGCGCGCGCACGGCGGCGGCGACGAGCGGCGTCAGCGCCTGGCGGGGGGGCTGACGGCTTCTGGCGGGTGGCAGTGTCGGCGGAGAGCGCTTGCTTAGCCCGTGTCGCCTCAGGCTCAGGAGCCGGGCGGAGAGCGAGGGAACGGGGGTCGCTCTCGGGGGCTGCTGCTTTCCACGTCCGCGTCGTCGGGAGAAGCGCAGCCCGGACGCTCCGGCCGCCCCTCCGGCTCCCTTCCCGCACGCCTCGAGGCGGCGGCAGCGGCGGCGGCCACCGAGGCGGCGTCTCACCTTCCCCCACCCCTCCCCCGGGGCCCCCTCCCGCCCGAAAGGGCCCGGTGTGCGCCCCACCCCCGCCCGTCCGCCCGCCCGCCCGCCCGCTACGCCGCCGCCATGTCGGCGCAGGCCCAGATGCGCGCGATGCTGGACCAGCTGATGGGCACCTCCCGGGACGGTAAGCCGCGGCCGGCGCCGGGGGGGGGAGGGGCGCGGGCCGGCGGGGCCGGGCGCGGGGGCGCACCTGGGCTGGCGTGTGGGCCTGAGGAAGGGGCTCCCGGAGTGGCAACACGCGGGCCCGGCTCCCGTCCCAGCCAATCGGGGCCGGGCGGGCGGGCGGGGGGCGGCGACCGTGCGGATTGGCGGGAACGGCTGCCAATGGGGTCAGGCGGGGCCTGCGGCCGCGGGGAGCGCCGGCGCCGGCCGTGTTGACTCGGCCGGGACGGGGGCGCCCACGTCGCTCGCGCGGAGTTGGGCGGCCCGCGCGGTCGCCGCCGAGGTGCCTGCGGATCGCTCGGGCCTCCGGCCCCAGGGCTGCTTCCTTCACCCCGAGCTTTGGGATCCCCCCTCGCCGCCGCCCTCCTCCAGGGAGAACTTTGTGCCCACCCCCCGCCCGGGCCCGGGCCCCCTCCGCTCCGGGCCCCCCCGGAGCCCCCAGAACCTCCCTCCCCCTGGGGCCACCATCTGACCCAAACCATGGTTTCTTGAGGCGGGTGTCTTTGACCCCATTTTATGAAAAGATTTCTGGCCTGCTCTTTTTTTTTTCTCCCCCCTCCCCCCCCTCCGAGAGACCTCCATTTTGTCAGACAATTTAATAATAGAGGCTTTGTTCCGTAAATATTGACAAATCTTGCATGTGCCCCCAATAGAACCATTTGGAAAATTCGGTGCCCAGTGAAGTGGAATTGAGGGCTTTAACGATCCTTCTAGGCATCTAGGTTAGCATTTGTATAGAAGACCACAACTTGCTGCACATCTTTTTGTCATAAAGAGGATTTCTAAGGAAAAGATGAAATGCTGTTGCTTTTTTGGTGGCGGTGGTTAGTCATGGACTCTTTCAGATTCAGCTCCAGCCCATATCTCTGTGGAGGGAAGGACTCAGAAACAAAGCAAGGAACTTGCTCTTTTTTGTATGATGCTTATTCAGGCAGTTTTTAAATTATTAAATGTTTTTTTTCCTTGACAAGTTAAATTGCTTGAGGTAAGAGAAAGGACATATTTTTGACAGTCTCACCATTTACTTGAGTGCTTTGCAGAAAAATGTGTCAGATTAAAACATGTATTGGATTCAGGTATTTTTAGCAGCGCATGTTTAGAACGGCTTTTTCAGTATTCACAGTTCAGTGTTAATAAGAACCACATTGGGAAATTTTCTCTGTGGGTAGATGGCAGACCTGCTTGTGCAGAGAGTGGAAGGTTGGGAAGGAAATGAACATTGTGTAATAATTCCTTGAAAATTTGATTGAAAATGCCAGGAGAGACAGTTTTTACCCTGTATCATTTTTCACTTTCAGATAAGAACGCTCATTTTATAACTGCAGCCTGTCTTCACATTGCTCCTTTCCCAGTATGAGACGGTTTTGGGAAGGGGCTTAATCCATGATCTAAGCGGAAAGAATAATCCATCTTTGTAAAAGTTACAGAACTCATTTAATACTTTACACGATCCTTCTAATCCCAAATAGATACCACTTTTGGTACCTTCTGCTTGAACGGAATTTCCTCATTTTACTGGGAAGGGTAGTTGGATCAAAGAAACCACTATTACCTGATAAATTTCCAAACAAGGCAGCCAATGTAGTGTTGCAAAGCTAAATTTAAAAACATACATATAAATATTCCTGCATGTGTAGTCAGCAGAACATGGATTTCCTAAAATCCCTTCTGCTTTGTATACAACTTTATATTTTTTATGTGTCTTGTTACTGGATTTTTTTTTTTTTTGCCTCCAGACTAAGGATTTACCAATGAACTTATGTTTACGAGTCCACGATAATATTTAGCTGAAATAGCTGGATTTTCACTGCTGTGTTGTGCCAAAAGTAAGAAACTTGTACTACTTTCAAGGAAAAGGAATGCTTTTTTCAGATACCCAACTTAGTTCTTTTATGTATGCAAGATAAGAATCAGAACATTCTTTTCCTTCTTACAAATAGTTACTGAGTTTACATATTTCATCTTATGATTTAGGACCTTTAAATAATTAGGTGGTTCTTTTTTTTTAATCACACAGTCAACTTGAAGTTACCCAGGGATAGTGGAACGTTGATACGTTCCTGAATAACAAACACCATGTAATTTGAAACCATATAATGGGAATCTTTGTATTGGACACAGGAACAGCTTACAGGGAATGCTGTTGGGTGTCTTTGGCACTAAGAGGTGGAATTGGGGATCCAGGAGGTGGGAGAGAGATGGAAAAGGTAGGTAGGAGGGTATTAAAGGCAGCTCTGTCTGATTTCTTTTCTTTTCTTTTCTTTTTTTTTTTTTTTTTTAAATTCTAGAGACTATAAAACCACTGACTTCTTGGCTAGTGGGACTCCAGGTGGCAGTAATCCCCTCAGCCCTTAGTAACCTGCCTGTGAGGGACTCCGAAATGGCACAGGAGGTTCAGGGCATTGGGAAAACCTCCCTGTCCTTTCTCCTCCCCTCCCCCCACAAAAGATTTTACCCACTCCCCCTCCCAGAAATGAAAATTTTTAAATTCCTTTTTAAATTCCTTTGAGAGTTAAGGTCTGTTAGTTAAAAGCTCTTATTTTGAATTACTTAAGCTAAATCACTTAGATTTCTTAAACAGCATGAAATCCTCAGGAATAGGAATTGAGTGGCAGGGAGAAGCAGAGGTAGTTTTGGATCACTGGGCACTTGCAGCAAGGACAGTCCTGGGCGAGTGGTGGAAGTGGGTTGGGAGGGGTCTTTGGCCATCCAGAGGGCAGCATGATGGTGCTGGGGGTGCTGGGCAAGGGAATGACCAGGAGGTGGGAGAGGAATGTATAAGGGCGGTGGGAGGGCCAAAGACAAACTTTGCCTTCTTTGCAATTTTGCCTAGGGCCCTGGTGGTGGCAACCGCCTGTGTGCCACTGAAAATCGTGCCGATGCCTGGCATACTGCATAAATGGAAGCAGGGTACCGCGTGAGTTGAAACATTGGTCACACTATATAAAGTTTGTATATGTGAATCAGTGTAACTCATACCCATGTAACTGGGGGTCTGACTGTATTTGGATTTTTCTGATAAGGCGTCATGGGCTAAGGAAAAGAGCACTGGGCTGAGACTCAGGAGACCTGGTGTCTAGCCCCAGCTGTACCTCTAATTGTAACCTTGGGTAAGTCACAACCTTTTTTGCCTCAAATTTGTAATTTGTTAAATGGGAAACCAAATAATTTCCTGTGTTATATTTAAAAAATGTTGAAATAAGTATATTTTAAGGTTTTTTTTGGACAGGAGAAACCCTGAGTAGATATAAACTAGTGTATCTTATTTTACCTGAGATTTAAGACACATTAAATTTTATAAATTTCTTTCTGTTTTCCTTGTTATCTTTAATACATGGAGAGGGATAATTTTTTTCCCCCTGAATATATTCTATTTGAAAGGTGGAGGTACAGCACAGGGAAATTCAAGTAGCAGTTTGAGAGTTGTCAGTGTGACAGTTGGAGTAACCCAGTGTCCTCACACAAACTGTAGTGACTTTGGCTGAGTTGGGTTAATTGGAATTATATATACCTTATTTAAAGTGTTTTGCCAATAAATACAGTTTGGCTATGATAAATCTGTGGTCCTGATCACAGAAAGGCCTGTCAAGGCGCAAGGGATAGAACTAAACAAAACTGAGGGTGTGAGTACAGATTACATCCTAAATTTAGCAGCTAAGGAACTTACATTACAGAAGGTAGTCTTGAGGGTTCCATGTATCAATTGCTTGGGAGCAGAGACCATATGTGAAAGGTTAAACAGGCCAGGAATGGTGATCTCCCTTCAAAAACAACCAGTAGATGAATAGAATATAGAAGAGAATTTTATAGCAAGTTGGTTTCCATTATGGTTAGGGAATGTTTTGGGCTCGTTAAAACTTGGACAAAATTTTAACTGATTTTGATGGTAATCTTTCTAAATAAGCCAGTGATGTAATTCCTCACTTAATAGAGTACATTAGTTATAATGTAATATTTTTGCTGCATAGTTATATTGTATGGTGATGGTTGTTGGTTCAGAAAATTATTTACTTGTTCCTATAGTAAGTTTAGTGATAGGTTTGTTGAACCTCTAGGATATGACATTGCTGCTTTTCTGCAAAGTAAGCTATTGAGTCAGGGATTGGAGTAGTGTTTTCTTCAGTAGATTTTCTTCATTAAATCACCTTTACTGTAACCTGTGTTCTTGACTTGTCATCAGCATTGGGAGCATTTTCTTTTAATTTTCCTTCATTATCATAATGAACCATATTTAGTTCTTGGTCAGTTGTTAGCCATTATTCTGTTCTACTTGTTCATTTTAAGTGAAGGAGGCATAGCCTTTAATGTACAAGTACATATTTCTTGAAAGAATGTGTATGTCTTACTCTAGAATTCTTTAACATGAGACATTTTGGCAAGCATAAGTTAGACTTTATCAGCGGTCCAGGTAGATCCAGGTCCAAACCACTGAAAGCTCTGTTAGCATCCACGTCGTGAATCTGTTTAAACTCTGCGTAATAATTCTGCCACAGAATAGCCCAGGAAGTTTTAGATGACCCTGCACTGTCCTTGGATTCTCTACAGTTGTTTTAGGTCTCCTCAAGGAAGTTGTGCTTCTGTAACCTTTTACTTTGAGTTAAAAGAAGTAAATTGAAACCAAAGAAAGGTCATTTTGTCTGTCTGCATAAGTTCTATAAGTAGCAAGTAATGCTTTGATTAGATTTGAGTAAGATGTCCTCACGATAAATGGTAGTTACTTCAAGATGGGTAGTAGGAACTCAAGGGCAAGTAGATGTCATGGGTTAGTCAGTTTTATTGAGTCAGTTCAATACTGAGTGGTTCTTACAAATATTAAAAGCTCTGCAAGGAGCAGGGTTACAAAGATAGGCAGATGGCTTAAAACTGGAGGTCAGTAAATGTGAGCAAGACTAGATAAATGAGCAGATGTGCCTCAAGAACGGAATTCCAGAAAGATACTTGAAATGGATGGAATCCTACAAG